GAATGTCCTGAGAGAGTTACGTGTATTTTCCTCAGGGACAATCCAGCATCTCTAAGGAGACTGCCTTCTTACAGTCATGCTCTCGTGAATTCCTGGGACATTGCTTGTCTGTGGGCCTTGACCATCTAACACTTGGCTAAAATAAAAAGATTGGAAATCGGCAGGATGGGAATAGTGCCTGTTTTGAATACCTGCGGCTCTTGAATGAGGAAGATGTCTAACATTCTTGGACAACTGCATATCATTTCAAGATATGTTCATTTTGGCTAGAAGTCTGTATCTGTTGTCACCAACACTGGTCACTCTTGCTCTGTTTGAAAGAGAGCAAGAAAGCGAGAGACGGTGAGCCTGCAAACACTCAGCAGACAGGTCTCCTTTGAGCTTGGGGGAGGGGTGCAGCTGCTTGGTTTTGATTTTTTGTTATTATTTTTAAATATTTGCTACTTGCTAACAGTCCAAGATTATCAATCCAGGTGAAGTCCTTCTAGACAGCAATGATCTCAGTTGTCCTCCCTTGACTTATCTATGGGACAGTAAAGTCACTGTTGCCTGTTTGCCCTCTTCTTGTGGGCTGCACCTGGCCTTTGGCAGAGAGATCTGGAGTTGATGATTAATCTAAGACATCCATTGATGCCACACGATTACCTAATTACTGCACTAGCAAACATGTTCCTGCGGTCATTCTCGCAACCCCCTATATGTGTGGTAAGGGGGAGCCTTAATTTACGGATGTCAGAAAAACTACATTTTCTTTTCGAAAACTATCCTCACAAGATGGGGGAGGCTCTTTATCCGCTTCCTCCCCCAGATCAGCCTCCTCTCCCCTGCTGTAGCCTCCCCGCGACGGGCTGCCTCTCCTACAGCGTGACGGGCAGTAGCAGAGCACACTGGGTAAGAGCCAGGTGGGCAGAGTTGGCTACACAGCCTCGCTGTGCTACTTATCAGCCACATGGCTTTTGGCAAATTATTAGCCTCTCTGTGCCATAGTTTCCTCATTGGTAAAATGGGATAACAATAGGTGCTCATAGAGTAGTTATAATAATTAAATGATATCATGCATGTAGAGTATTTGGCATGTATAAAGTTTCCAATAATGTTCCTATTTTAAAGCCTTATTGTTAATAATCCTATTATATGTGTATAGGTATGTGTATGTGTGTGTGTGTGTTTTATTATATACCATATAGGAATATGTGCTATAGAATGAAAGTAATAACAATACGATATTATTTTATGTACAATAGTATTAATAATGAGAGTAAAAATAATAGCAATGGTGAGGCAACACGGTTCTCAGGAGGCTGATGGATCTATAAAACCAGTCTGTTTCTAGTTCCCAGGCCTTAGAGACGTGTGACAAATGGAGGTCTCTGGCAGGTCTTGTGGCTGAGATGCCCTATCTTTTGGGAGTGCTTGGTGGTAGCACCTGCTGAACTTGCCTGTTGTCACCCTCCCAGGTGTGTCAGGGTGTCAGGGGAAGACCAGGGGCAGGAGCCCTGTGGCCGCCGCTGGCCGAGGCAACAGACTTGGCAAACTTCCCGAGTCAGAGATGGGCCGTCCCCATTGGAAAAGAACACGACAGGGCTGCAGCTACTCTGTGAGGCCGCCTGCACCCAGTGAAAGTTTAATACTCTCCTGTCACATTGATAACACCCTCTGAGTCTCAGGCGACGGTAACTCAGTTTGTTTGACTTTATCGTCATCCCGAGTGGGGAAGCTGGGAAGACTGACTCCTTCGGAGCAGCCCCGCCCCCCGCCTGCCCCACTCCTCCGCGCGCATAGCCGAAGCCCAAGTGCGTAAGTGGGAGTGTCTATGCAGACTCCTGGTGACTGCTGTTCTGGAGCATCACTCCAAAGCCCTGGAACGCTGTGCAGCTCTTGAAAGCCAGCAACCTCAGCAGACACTGAAGTCCTGCCTTTCCCCGGCTTACTGAGGGGTTTGTTTGTGTGTGTGTTTTCTCACTTTGGTCTTGATGAGTACACATTATACTCCGTCCAGGCTCTGGGGAGGGAGGGCAGGTGCTTGAGTAATGAGATGGGGGGAGACTGAGCACACACACACCTTTGAGGTGCACAACGGGCTTTATTTCATAGCACTCCCCTTGCATAGCACTGCACAGCAAGAGCCTGAGGCCGGGGCAGTGAGGAAGTGGACCAAGACTCCTCCAGGTGCTGGGTAAAGAGCTGGGATTATTCATGCTCGGGTCCCTGTGGGCTCTATGTTCTTTGGCCTAAGAGTGGACGAAGAAACGCTTCGCTTGAAGTGCTCGGAGCCCTTTTTCAGGGCACGTGGCTCAGTATAGGGTGTCCCTTTGGCTTTAGAGGTTGTAAACAGGTAGCTCATGGGGGAAATGCCGCCTGCAGATGTGTTGGATTTGGCTACCACAAGGCTGAAACAATTGGACAAGAACGACTCATTCCTTGGACAGAGTGTGGATTCCACACGCCTCATCACTCCCACTGCCCTGTGCTCATTGCCCGTCACTCCTTTCTCATACAGATGATCTTGCCCAGCCTGCCTGATGCAGATGGTCCTTGACCACCCAGGTTGTAATGTACTGTGTAGTGTAGCTGCCTAGAGGAATGTCATAATGCTTCTTAGCATATGAAAATTCTGAAAAGTTCTGTTGCTAAAAAACTCACTGGTTTATCTTTGCTTAAATCAATGTTTCTCAAAATAATTTGATTGCAAACCCCTTTTCCCCTACACAATACCTAGCACCATCCAGTGGGACAAGAGTGTCCAATAGAACATAGTTGTAGAAACACTGACTTTGGAGCCTCATTTTCTCTTGTCAATTACATTTGAAAGAATAAAGAATAAATCTCCAGATACAAAATCTAATTACTATAAAGAAAAGTCTGACAACTTTGACAACATGCAAATTAAAATCTTTATGTGCAATGAAACAACAGGACAAGCGAGAGGAAATTCTTGCAAAATGTGTTACTACAAAAGGGTTACTATTAATGATGTATAAAGAATTCTATAAGCTAATAAGAAAAAAAGAAGAATGGAAAAAGGATATAAACAAGCAGTTTAGTAAGTTTACACATTCAATAAATATAGAAAAGATGCCCAGCTGCACTGACAACCAGAGAATTGCAAATGACAGTTGCAAATAATGCATTATGTCAGCAAAAATGAGAAAGATCATGTATCCAATTTTAGCAAGGTATAGAGAGAGAGACCATAAGTAAAAGGAAATTGGTTGCCATGGCTTTTAAGGTAGCTTGACAATATCTCCTAAAATTTGTATGTATATAGATTTTGAAACATGAGTTCCTCTTTGAGCAATCCATCCTACAGTTAAATATTTTCTCATCACCTGTTTTTTAATAAAGAAAAACTAAAAATGGCATGGAGCCTTTCAGCAGAGGTGAGTTGGAAGAGGTGTAATGTACCCATTTGGACATTGCCGGGTAGTGGTTAGAAACGAAGAGAGCACACTCTATGAAATGGCAGGCCAAGAGCCCACTGGTTTGTGGTTAACTGCAAAAAGCAAGTTGCAGACCTCTGTATTTATGTACATGCACATGCACACACGTGCACACACAAGTTCATGCATCGGAAATAGTCTGGAAGGAAACTTACCACAATCTTAACTAATGGTGGTCCCTTCTGAGATTGGAGCTTAGATGAGGATGTGATGTAGGATTACGGGGAGAATTTTCACCCTAATACCTTATCTTGTGTGAATTTTTTGTTTTACATAAAACATACAGTACTGAATTTTGAGAATTTAGAAATTATAAACAACAAGAAAAAAAGGATGAGTGCACAGGGAGTTGCTATTTGAGTAAGTGGCCATGTGGCTTACGGGTCCCAAGGAATGGCTCTACAAACAGCCTGCCTGAATTTGAATTCTGGCTCTCTACTTGCTAACTTCGTGGTCCTGGGATAGTTGTTTAATCTTGATGAGCCAAAGATTCCTTACCTATGAAAATAATAAATATTTCCCTTGCAGGGCTGTAAGTAATAAGATAATCTATTAGCAGTGTTCAGCGCCATGTCTGCCTCCTTGTAAATTCTCAGACAATAGTCATAATCATTATTTATGTTAAGTATGAATCTCAGTTGTATATGGCAAGGAGTGAGATTTTTCTTTAAGACAGTAATTTTTCCTATTTTTACTTTGGTCTGATTGTTAGGGGGGCATACAGGTTGATAATAGAACCCCTACAATATACAGAAAAACAAAAAGAATAAAAAAACGCATACTTCCATTAGATTCTTAAACATTGTTTTCTATTTATGTGACTTACAACTCTTGCCAAAATTGTAGTGTGCCCTGCTGCTTAGCAAGTAGCATTGCTGTGCAGGGGGGCAAGTGTGGCTCACACCTCTGGTTACATCAGTTAACTTAAAGAGAGTAAATAATCTGCCACAATGCTAAGCTTTCCTAACCCAGTTAGTGAACCAAAACATCCCCGCTGTTGTTCACAAAGTGGCTGGGGAGAGAAAATGTGAATAACTCAGTCCAATCCATTCTTGCCATCAGCAAAAACAATTCAAGCACACCATCTTCCATTAATAATAGAAGGTACCATTTATTGAGTACCCAAAAAATGCCCGATGCTCTGCTAGATGACTCACATATATTATTTTTAATTTTCACAATCCTGCAAAATAGGTATGACTTTCCCTATTTCACAGATGTGTAAATATCTGAGAGGTTAAGTGTTCTGTCAAAAGCCATGTGGCTAATAAGGTGTGGAAACAGAATTTGACTGCAGATCTATATAACTTCAAAGTCTGTGTTTATTCTGCTATACATCACTGGCTCCTTGAAGGTAGAAGCTGTGGCTTCACTTAGAACGTATATAAAGAAGTGCATGCTTATGTTCCAGTCTACATGCAGAGTCTTGCATCATTATAGTAGTGCCCAAGATGCAGGGTCATTTTCCCCTGATCTGTGTCATGTTGCAAAGTACCCTCTTCGCCAGCACAGACCGGTTGGCTGTGGACATCACTCACATTTATTTCCCATTCCACCTAGGTGGCGGCTTTGAAATACATCCCATCTGTCCTCCATGATGTGGAAACGGTCTTTGATGCGAAGTTACTCAGGTGAGAGCTTATGCTGTACTTTCCTGGGCTCTGTTGGCAAGTCAGGGATTCAGAAGGGGAGGAGGGCTCTTGTGGGGAGTTCCAGGTGACCCTCACCTGAGGGACGGGGAGGGCACAGGATGGGAGCCCTGTTCAGGACTTCCAGTGTGGGATTTTTACCTTTTGGTTTTGTCGTGCCAGACTTTGGTGCAAACTAACTGTATAATAAACATGCCTCTTTGATTATATGGAAGGTAAACAAGTTGGCTAAAATTTGATGTTTGGGGTAAATGTCTCCATATCGCCTGGCATTGCAAGTTATTTTGGGTTCCAGTTTTTGCCCTGCAAGCCCCACAGTTGCGAATGGAGAACAACCCAAGGACACTTAAAGAGGTGATGGAGATGGGCTCCCTTCTGCTTTCTCCTTCTTAACTCCATCTCATAGATGAACGCCTTATGTTGGTGTGATCATGCTGTCAGAATAGGGGCATCTGAGTCAGATATACCTTCTTCTTCTTTTTCTTAGCTTGTTAGAGCTGTGAGGTCTAAATGGCATAATGGATGTAAAATGCAAAGCACGTGCCTGGTGCACAATAAGTGCTCAGGGCTATCGGTATTATCTTCAGATTTTCATATCTCTTTGAATGCTATTGATAGTCAATGCCACAAGCAACTTACATATTTACTGAAGGCTTCCTAGGCATCTGATACTCTGCCAGGAATTGGGGGTCCAAGAGGAGCAAGAGCAGAATAGTTTCTTCCCCCACAGACCTGACATCCAGGGATGGACTGTAATTGCTATGAGGTGGGAGATATTGGTCTAACTTGCTCTACCAGCTCCTGTTTTTTTTGCCCTCAGCCAACTCCTGTACGAGTTCTACACCTGCATCCCTCCCGTGAAACTCCAGAAGCAGAAAGTGCAGTCCATGAATGAGATAGTCCAGAGCAACCTCTTCAAAAAGCAAGGTGAGTGCAAAGCATCCTGGCTGAGGGGTGGGGTGTAGGGGAGAGGGGAGGAGTGCCAGCCTCACATCCTCCTTAGGAAGCCTGGCAGGAGAGGGCAGCCTGTCCGGTGAAGACGAAAACATCTCTCCTCTAACAATTCCCTTGGTTCACATAAGTGCGAAAAGTAGAAAGTGGCTGACAACTCAGATATCAGAATCTAAATTGATTTTAGGAATGCTTGGGTTGCATTGTTTATTTCTCTTAAGAAAATTTAATGAGGAGTCATGCTTTAGATCGTTGTGGTATGAGGCTTTTTTGCCTGCGTGGTTTATTATTCCTCTCCTTAACTTGAGGGAAAGTGGATGAAGTTCTTTTTAGTAGAAAGAGCCTTTAATGGAGAAGTTCTCAAAATCTGGAGTGTGAAAGAATAAACTGGAGAGCTTATTAAAATGCTAATTCCTGGGACCCATCTCAGAGATTCTGATTGAATAGGAATTAGCATTTTTTTTTTTTAGTTTGTAGAAAAATGTCAATTATTTTTGAATAGGTAACACATTGACATGGATTAAAATGCAAAGGTATGGAAGGGGACCACACGAAGGGGTCTCAGACCCTGTGCATGGCCAGTCCCAGCTCCTTCTCCAGAGGCCACCAGCGTTTCCAGTCTCTTGTCTTTGCTTCCAAGCACACTCATGGATGTGCAGTCACATATATTCTATGTATTCTCCCCTGATATTTTATTATTATCACTCAAATGGCAACATATTATGTAACTGTTCTATGTTTTGCCTGTCTTTACTTAATGGTGTGTATTTTTGGAGATCAGAGAATGACAATGGAGTTATGGTCAGAGCTTGTGCTGACCCTAAACTGGTGACCACTGGGTCCTCTGACTAACCCCACTGTCAAGAGACTTGGGGGGTTCCTGTTTTCAAGATCAAAAGCTCATCAACTAAATGTGCACAGTTCCTCCAGATAGGGCCAGGCAGGATTTAGAAGCCCTTATTCATCCTCCATCTCTTCTCCAACTTGCTGGATCAGGCAAAATAGAGGATGCCTTTTGCTTGATGTAAATGAATTACTGGTTCAGAAACTGCATTTTTCACTTCTGTCTATAAGGGTGAAGAAATGACTTTTGAGGGTCAGTAGTGTTTTCTATACCCTGAGACCAACCCTTTCTAATTTTAAAGTTCTCTGTCCACGCTGTTGTCAATAATAAAATGAGAAGCAAACTGTGCAAGAAACAGGAGGTCTTAGAATTCAGAGGATCAGCCGTCGCCCAACTGGAATTTATTCAAGGAGTGAAGCCTGAATATTTATGCAAATTGCCTGGTAATCACAGAAATATTCAGGAACCACTTCACTGTAAAGATGTTTTCTTCCAATGCTTGGTTAACATGGTGCATCCAAAATTGCTGTCTGGATCCTATCCCTGGAGTTAAGGGTTGGAGGAGGACATAGGGAAGAAAAGAGTTGTTCTGCTTATGATTTTAATATTCATGTGTGTAGTTTCCTGACCATTTAGACAGATGTGTGGCAACAGATTAATTCAATCCATATGTGGTTTGTTTGTGCAAGGTGGTTCGTGTGAGGTGATGGGAGACTAATCCTGGTTAAGTCTTGTTGCATTCCTTGAGTTACTGTGGCTTTTAAAAGTGAGACTTCCATGTTTTTAAAGTTCTGACTTCTGCCTCCAAATGAATTGCCTTTATTCTGAAAGCTTTGTAATATGCCTGTCCCCTCCTGGCCCCGGCAACCCCTCTAGGATCTCAGGTGGTGTCACTGTAGGGCAAATTGAGTCTTGTCCCAGGGACGTGACAAGGACAACTCTAGCTACATATGGTGCTGCACAGGCAGCAGAGAGCCGGCTACTTGGCTCACTGTCATTGTTCAGAGCTGCCATTATTGTCAGGGGCCCGGCCTGGCACCGAGGCCAGATGGAGAGCTAGCACGGTCCTGGACTGGGCAGGTGGTGTCGGTTCCAGCCTCGGGGAAGTCAGAGCGATTCCTTTACTGCAGCCACATCTCCTGGGCTGGGAGGTGGCCCCTGAGGGTTGGCATCATCACAGGGCAGGCTGGACAGCTGCTGCTTCCCAGTCCTGCTGTGTGTCTGAGTTTCAGATTCAACAAAAACCCTCTGATTAATATTAACTGACAGAAGGCCAGCCTTAGTGTTGTACACAGTTACAAAAGAAATGCAAAATTCTTACCTTTAAATACATACAGAGACTAGAAGCAGAAAAACAAAGTGCCCTTTGGGGACCCAATTGCGAGAGGATGCGAAGTATAGCCAGTCTAGGCATCCTCGGCTCACACGTGAAAGCAGTCTGCTGGTGCACTCAGCTGCAAGGTAACTCCTCTGCACTGTTTACTTGTTAAGTGAACCCTCTTACAAAGTGATCCTGATGGGAAACTTCAGCTCATCGCCTTTCTTAAGTCCTCAAGTTCCCAACGAGTAAGATCTGAATTCATGTGCACTTGCTGGGTGGCCATCGCCCTTGGGTGAGTATCTCTTTTTCTACCCTTACACAAGGTGAGTTTGATTCCTCCGGCCAAGTTTGCGCTGTAATGACATTCCTCCTATTCTTCTCCCTGTGAAGTGTTCTGTGCCTCAGGGACGTGATTTGCTTTGAGCCCGCACTCATCCAACTGCCAGATGTGCAAATTGCCTGGAGTATTTTTGGTGACATCAGCTTGTACTCACAGCCTTGAACATTTGTACTGACATCAAGCAGAGGAACCAGAAGGCTTTTAAGCACTCTCTGAGATTCTGGCAGGCTACCCTCTTGGCCCGTCTTCAGGAGGATCCCGTGGAGAAGCAGAGAGGGTTTACCGGCTAAGGCCACTGGTTCTTGGGGCACACCAGATCTGAGTTTAATTCCTGGTTCAGCCCCTTCTCAGCTGTGTGGCTATGGGTCATTTTCTTAACCTCTCTGATCACCAGTAAGCTCATCTGTAAAATGGGAATAATAGTGTCTGTCTTAGAGGGTTATCGTGTGGAATAATGAGATGGGTGATGCATTTCAAGTACTTTGCACAGTGTCGGGCTCAGCATGATATCCCATGCTAAGCGGTAACTCTTATTATTGGTGGTGTTATTTTCCTGCTGCACCCTGCAGTATCCCAGCTTCTATTCTGACCTTTAGATTTCTTTCCTTCATGTTTGATAGCTGCACATAATCCTAAGCCAAGCTTTCTTGTTTCCCTGGAAGCCACTGGCTTTCCTCGGGGTTCGAGAAACACAGGACTTCACAAATGTACGGGCCTTGGTCCGTATGTGCTTTTCATTCTGGCGTTGAATGCCTTTTTCAGTTTTTATTTCATTTCCCTAGAGTGTTTTTGTGACAGGGCCATGTTATGTATGCCTAGAACAATAGGGCAGAGTGAAATGTTCGTGGTTTCTCCCTTCACTGTTTATCTTGCTGCAGGCCCCAACATATGACATAGTTTTGGATACTTGACAGCCATCCTCTGTGATGACTTGCTGCTTGGGGCTCTTGTAAAACACACACACACACATACAGACACACACATGCGCAATATTTTTCTTTTCTTTCATGGAGACAATCAGCTTCAACTCTGACTTGACCTATGATCTTGAGTAAATTACTTAATCCTTGCAAGTCTGAATTTCCTCATCTGAAAAATGGGAATAGCTGCAGAATGGGTCTCACTGCGTTGTTGTGCAGACTCAGTGGCATAGTGTGGCTTGTTGGCCTGGGGTATGCAGGAATGAGCAGCCGCCACCAGCCAAGGTCCCACATGGCATGTCGTGCTCTGTGTGAATGACTTCAGGGTGCAGCAAGAGGAGAACTGAGAAATCTGCAGAGAATCAATTTGCTGTCTTCTTCAACACAAGCGCAGACCTGCCCGGCGGTGATGACGGGAGAAAGGACGAATAGAGATGCCCGGACAAAGCTCTAGGGGAGTCTACGAGGAGACGGAACCCTCTATGCCTTGGGAACAGATTTGTCCCTATGAGAACCTAATCTCCAAGGAATGTGTCTTTTTAGTCTGATGCTAATCAGAGGCACCATCTGGTTCAGTGTAAACTGCTTTAGGATCCACATTGCTCGTTATTTTCTCTTCAACTTCCAAAACAAACAGAGAGATTGAGAAAGAGAGAGTAAGACAGAGAGAGAGAGAGAGAGACCTGATGGAGATTTGGAAACTCTTTCAATGTTTACTTTCAGCCAGGGGGTTTTTCATTGGATACTTTGTCGAGAAGCTGTTCTTTGAGCACGGAGCACCCAGTTTTCCTTTTATCAAGAAGAGGTAGCTGCCTTCTCCCCCCTCTTACCTGTTGCCCACCGTATCTGGAGCTGCTGGGTCCTCACTTTACAATGCCCAGTGGGCTGGCAGGTGTTGGGGGAGGGGATACAAATAACTGTGCCCAACCCCAACAGGGCTTATCTTTTCTAATCGTCATATCATTGCTGCATGGGGCTGGGAATAGAGAAAAGTCCTCTGACTCTAGCAGTTACTGCGTTGCTTGGTGATCTTACATAACATCTCTGAGCTTTGGGTTCCGTGACTGAAAATTGTGTATAGGAATGTCATCATTAGAATAAGGGCCTTTTGATTCGAGACATCCTCGTTTCTGATCATGGCTTGATCAGTTACTAGCTGTATTCCTTTGAGCAAGTAATGTCTCTGAGCTTTGGTTTCTTTCACTACAAAAACGCAGTAGCTTATGAAAAACAACTAGCAGAGTGCATGAGACACAGTTGCTGGTTATTAAAAGGCATCTATTGTATCTGTTGTATAACAGTTATAACCACAAGAATAATAATGGTATCAATAGCATCTTAAAGGGAGAGATTTATATTTATTAAATGCCAACTATGTATCAAGGCCTATATAAAGGATAAAAATATATTAAATTTTTACACCAAGTCCATGATGTATCATTATCCCCATCTTATAGATGGGGAAACTGAGGCCTAGAAAGTTAAGTAATTTTCACCCCAATGAGACCAAAGATTACACAATGTATTAGGGTACATTGGATTATGTGATGC